GCTTCAAGCGATTCAATGCCGAGTGCCAAAGCAATTAGCTCTGCTGCCACTTCCTTCGTGTTCTCCTGCCGTTTCAGCCAACCCTTGAAATCTGAGAACTTTATTCGCTTTATCCATCTGTAGGTTCAATAGTCTTCTCTCTTGAAGATCTTGCCGTTGCTCCAACAGACCAACCTTTTTCTTCACCTTTTTAGTATCGTGTGCTGTTTCTTTCAGCCTTTCTTCAGTTTGAGCCGATTTTTTTACAAGCTCAGAAATTTGCTGTTGCTGCTTTGCAATACTCTGGTTCGAAGCAGACATTAATTGGTTAAGGCTATCGAGTCTCTCGTTTATGGGCTGGAGCAGTTCCTTTAACATGGAGAAAACATCTCCTTCGTCAACTTTCGGACTTTGCCCGCCTCTCATAACTTTCGATCCTCTTCCACGGACGCCGGCCATTTTCAGCTTTGTTTATACTAAAGAGAGCCTTTTTCACTCTTCTTCAGCAAATGCAAATTTATCAGCAAAAAGAGCTAAGTCTTTGGCACACTTGAGTGCTTTTCGTTTCTCCTCCCCCCCTTCTCTTTGATACACAGTTCAGCTTGTTTACGTTTGGGAAACACTCCCGGCGCCGTTATAAGCGGGGGGGGGGGCGTAACTCACTTTTGGAATTTCTCCGCTTGTCTCGTCTCTGATTCATTGACGGTCTGGTCACAGACACCTCTTAATCATCGCTTCATTCGCTGACCTTCTTGCTTGTCCCAGCTGGCATTCAGCTATGCTCAGTAAAAACCGAGCCTCTCAGGGGGTGGATCGAATAGGGCAAAGGCGGCGGTTAGAATCCCCCCCAAAACGGGGGACCCCTGGCAAACCAGGGGGTTTGGCAACCCTATTCATGTATCCCCACCCTCTGAGATCAGGTAGAGGTCCTTCTCGGTCATGGCACCAAAGCTGCAGAACTGTCTCTCCAGGGAGATTTGTCTGGCCCCTTCTGTTGCTCTCTTCCACTAGTGGATGATGACTTTTTCTGTTTCATTTGGCATTCCCTCAATGATCCCTGCCTCCTAACCAATGTTTTTATGATTTGTGTGTATTTTAACTGCTTTTTAAAATCATTTTAATATCATTTTAATGGTGTATGTTTGGGAGGGGGTTGATCTTAATTGGTTGTATAATATAATTTTATCTTGTATGTTTTTAAATTCTTAGCTGCCTTCGTGGCCCTTGCAACAAAAGAAAGCCGGGACATACATTTTATAAATAAATTTGGAAGCATCAGGAAGATCAGTTATTTGGAAAGTGCTTACTGCTACATTGTAAATTATTGGATTTCCATTTCCTCATCACAATGCTGCTAATCTGCTGAAAAAATTAGGCCAATGAACTATTGATAAGAACTAAGTTCTGACCACACTAAAATAATAGATAGGGAGGCCTCCTGGCAATCCCTTTGATGGTTACTGGTGCCACAGGCATTGGCGGGAGGAACCAGAGGGGAAGGAAAGGCACGGCAGCACACTGGCGCACCTATATCACTGCTGAAAGTGACACAGTTCACTCTAGCATTCCACAAAATCTCTACGGTAAAACCATAGAGATTTGCAAAATGCAAAAGTGTCCGTCCCCCTGTGTCACTTCCAGTTTAAATCAGAAGTGATAAAAGTCTGCTGGTGTGACACCCACATGCTAGGCCCCACCCCCAATTGCTCCTGCCTCCCATCTGCTGTCATAGAAAGCCTGATGTGGGCTCTGATCATGGAAGCTTTTCCCACAATAAGTCCATAAGTCTAACAAGTGCAAGAAACGTGGTCATTTAGGGTGCAGCAAACTGAGGGAGAAATCCTAAACAGGTCTACTTGTAGGTCTACAAATCATTTTATTCAATGAGCCTTATTCTCAGGAATGTGTTCTTAGGAAGGCAGCCGAACATGGGGACCAGATTTCATTTTAGGAGTATTCATCATTCATGTAGTTTGGCTCTGCTGCACCCTATTCAATCCAAATAATTTTCCAATGAAGATGGGCTGGATGCTTAGTAGTTTATTTGGCATTACATCAAGATTTGTACTGATCTATTAGATGTGCAAAGTTTTCTAACTATTAAAAATAACATTGCAACAGATGCTAACTGCATGTGTTAGCTGGCCACATCCTAATGTCTGCATTCTTAGTCTTAAGGGCAGCCAGCCAAAACAAACACATAGAAAAAACAATATGTGGAAGAGAATGCCCATCCACCCTCTGCCTATGTGCCTATATTCATATTTGTTTTAATGCCAATCCAAGATTTCAGATTCTTTTTAAGATTGTTCTACTTAAAAAACATACACACAAGAACAAAGCCACAAAAGGAACAATCAGATAAACTACAAAGGAAGTATCAAGTTATAACATGTTGGCACATCATTTCTATAATTATCACATTTTCAGTTCCACAAAAGCAGCCCAATGCTTCCATAAAAGATTTTATTCTCTATGAACATAAAGCCAACTCTTCCTTTTTTGACCACTTCAGGAAGAAGAGCCTTCAATATATAGTACTGCCATAAAACAAACTATACATTAAATACATGGGATGCTTACCATGTGAAACAAGCCAACAATGCAGACTCTCTATGTGAAATATGACATTATTGCACTGGTTTTGCTTGTGTTATCATGTGCTTTGTTTTGGCCCACAGTGCAGGACTCTGGATGTACATGAAAGCAAGGTCATTTCTAAATACATTCACATCTTTCAAGTAAACAAATATTTAGTACAGTCAACCCCACTTGACTTTTGCCTTACATTCCTTGGGTTCTGATCTGTGATTAAAGCATTGATAGCAATAACCCTGGGGATGGAAAGACTGCATTGTGCAGAATGTTTAGAAACATTAGTTAAATTGCAAGCTAGAGTTTTTCAGAGTTAATAGTTGAGTGGGCAGTCTGTTGACAATTTTGCCACATGTGCATTAACAGTGGAGGGCAACTGCTGGGTTCATGACCTTAGGCCCACAGGTTGCCTGGGAGGCAGAGAGAATCAGATCCCCAGTGGCATCCCTGACATAAATGATATTTAATCAGCAGACCCCTTCCAACATAATGGCAAAAGGACCAGGCTGTGAACTGGGAAGTTTCAGGTTTGCCTCAGTCAGAAAAGCACTAAGTGGTCTTATGCAAGTCTCTCTCTCCAGCCCGGGGAATAATAATGCTGACCTTCTTTACGAATGTTCGTAATGACGAGAAAGCTTGGAACACTCAGAAAATGCTACACAAATGCTAAACATTATTACATATTATCACTATTGTTAGACCTATCACCAGCAATAACAACATCCTCATGCTATGTTCTTTGTAATAAAGGTTTTGAATGGGTTGATTCTGGAATAAGACGGTTCGTGTAATAACTTGGACTTATCAACCTGTTGTGCTCAAAACTCTCCCTGGCTGTTATTGTAAAATGGAGACCTAGTAATTTGAATGCACGTAAATCATGCTGTTAGGGAATTTAGTGAACTCAGAGAAGAATTCTGCTAGTAAAATGGAGTCCCCCCCCCCTTCTGTATTCCACTGCAGACTTACCTCTCCTCTGAAGCAAGTCGTGAGGACCAGGGAACTCCTGGGAACGGTGGGGGGAGGTGTGTAATGGGCTTAAACCATAGCAGAAAACCAACGGATACTGCCAAGTCTGCTTCCATGAACAGAACATTATGCTTGCACAAACAGCCTTTAGGATCCAAACCCATCTACCTTTCCCACGTCAAAACTCTTTATGCTAGCTCTGGAAGTATGCCGTGCCATAATGTTTTTTTTTTCCTCAGTAAAGCGTTAATATACAGCTGGCATAAGAAGGAAGGCAAGATTTCTTTCCAGCACACACACACACAAACTCACCCCTCACAGATGTGATACTATGACTGACAAAGTAACAGAAGGAAGATATGCAGTGAAGATAGCATGATAAAAGCTTTAGAAGATAGTGAAGTGCTGAAAACACCTAACAGCTCAATGCTTCTACAGTGATCCGACCACAGGGAAGCTTGGATAAACACAAAGTGACAAGGTTTACAAGGCCTTCTGCATGGTTAGAGGCTTGGATTAAAAACCATTAACGTGCTTGCATAAAACTCAGGAAGCTTTAAAAACATTTAGTGTGAGGGGAGGTCCCCTTCGAAAATTTACTCTGCAACGTATCATGATTGCATACCAGTGATTCAATATTCATAATGGGCCAATCAAAGTTTCCCCTTAGAGGAGTAGCCCTTTGCACCCCACAGAATGCTTGTTCCTGGAGGGTCTCAAAGACCTTGGGGACCTCTGCCAGCTGTTAACACAGGGTGGGCCACTGGTGCTGAAAGGGGGATCCGCAAATTCCCACATGTGTGTGATACTTGGCCATCTGGACTTCAACCAGAATCAAACAACTACAAGATTAATAACAACAACAATAATACTAAATAAATGCTTGGGGCTCAGTGACTAATCTGGGTGCACCTAACCCTGACACTAAACACTAATGAGGTCAGATTAGTGTCTGAAAGTAATGCAGTGGAAGCCCCACATAATCTGTCCTGAGCTTTCTCAGGGTCTGTAGATCGATGGATAAACAAATATATGCTAGAAGGTTATGAGTTGCATCCAAAGATATCTTTCTCCTCACAGAGGGAATGTTCTACTCACAGTAGTGGAATCTGAATATTCAGAAGAAAAAGAGAAGAAGAGATTGGGTTTATACCCTGCCCTTCACTACCCGAAGGAGTCTCAGAGCAGTTTACAATCTCCTTTCCCTTCCCCTCCCCACAATAATTTAACTAACAACAGACACCCTGTGAGGTAGGTGGGGCTGAGAGAGCTCTTTCGAGGACTGCTTGTGAGAGAACAGCTCTGAAAGAACTTGTAACTGACCCAAAGTCACACCAGTGACTGCATGTGGAGGAGTGGGGAATCAAACCCGGTTCTCCCAGATTAGAGTCTGCGCTTCTAACCACTACACCAAACTGGCTCACAATATTGCTTAAAAATGGAAAGTCACTACTCACCATTCCATGATTCAGCCAAGGTGGTATAAAATTATCGAGGAGTTTGGGGTAAACTAGTTCTCTGTCATATATATAGATGCTCCAAAACATTGTCACAACAAACTGAAGTGAAAAGAAAGGAGGAAAAGAATTAAAAACCTGGATTAAAACAAAATTCACTTTGCATTCTAATAGTATAAAAATAAATAACTGGCACCTCATAGAAGGTTCTCAAAAATATAATTTTGATTCCAAATTCCATATTTCTTTCAAAGCAATACATCACAAATGGCAGGGTCAAATGGGTATATGGCCTGGAAAGAGAAAGTGCTTTTCCACTTTAATTGGAATGCATATTATGATTGCCTTGATCACTTCCCTCCCCCAGAGGCAAGATTTTCCCTCAGTTTCTCTTTTCCTTTGCTGACTGAGCTGCCCTAGTAATGTGTTTTCTTCTTTGCCATAGAACTCTGGCTGTTCCACCCTGTCACAGTATGATATTTTGGCTGTTGGCTCAGCTCAGGAAGGATTGGGAGCCCACTTTAGCTTAAACAACTTAAAATGGCACTCAAGGCATTTTGAAATTCAAAATAACAAAACATTTTTTTTAACAGAGGAGAAAGGTCAGAAGAAATCAGGGGTTGAAAATTTCTGAGGTCTAATGTTGAATTAGACCAATGGTTAAGGGTGTGGAAAACTAATATAAAGATTGCTAAAGCAACTGCTTATAAAGAAAATATATATAGTATATGACTCCAGATAAATTAGCTAAGATCTATCCTGAATTATACCGGAGCTGCGGTGGCTCAAGTCGTTAAGACGCTGAACTGCAGGCTGTGGAAGGTCAGTAGTTCAGCAGTTCTAGACCCGAGAGTGCCACATGACAGAGTGAGCTCCCATCTCTAGTTCCAGCTCCTGCCTGTCGGTAGTCCTAGCAGTTCGAAAGCAAGAAATTGCAAGTAGATAAATAGGTACCACTGCAGTGGGAAGGTAATAGCGTTCCATGCGCCTTGGTAAAGTCATGCCAGCCACATGACCACGGAAATTTCTTCGGACAGTGCTGGCTCTTCGTCTTTGAAACGGAGATGAGCACCGCAACCCTAGAGTCGGATTCAACTGGCTTTTGAGCAAGGGAACCTTTACCTTTACTTTATCCTGAATTATCAAATGATTTCTGGAAATGTCATAATAATGTTGGTTCATTTTTTCATATGTGGTGGACATGTGAGAAAAGTAAAAAATATTGGTCTTGGATAGATGAACTGTTACAAAAAATGTTGAAAATTACTCAAGATATAATGAAGACCAAAAAATAGGTTTTTACATGTGTCAAACCGAATTGGATAAAATCTGGTTGTCATCAAGTGACAAGTTGATCCAGAAAGTATATAAAAAACTGTTAGAAGATTGGTTAAAAGAAGATGTTATGAAGACGTCTATAGCAGCATGGACAAAGGAGATTGGGCATACAATAGAGATGAACCAATGGGTAAAAACATGGAAAACCTTAAAGTATATGAGGGCAACGCCATATAAGGAAAACATATATAAAATGTGTTACAGGTGGCATTGGACACCAGAAAAAATCGCTAAATATTTCCCTAGGGCATCAAACACTTGTTGGAGATGCGGGAGAAATATAGGTTCGTATTTACACATCTGGTGGAGATGTGATAAAATTCAAACTTTCTGGAATAAAATACATAAAACAATACTAAAGATTTTACAAATTACCTTACCATTTACCCCAGAAATATATTTACTAAACATGATACCAGACACGATAAAGGAGCATAATCAGATAATAACATATATTTTGATGGCAGCTAGAATACTAGTAGCAAAACGATGGAAATCTAAAAGCATACCTTCGATAAAAGAGCTTAAGCTTAAAATCCTAGAAGTAGCTGAAATGGATAAGTTAAATATAGTCTTGCAAAATAAATCAGAGGAGCTTTTCTGGGATAGATGGGGAAAAATTTACGATTGGTTGAAAATGTATAAGCTATAATAGAATTGTATAAAGGCTTGTTAAAGATAAATAATGTTAAATTTAGATGATCGCTTGGATATGTAACACATATGATTGGAATGACTATGTTTTGGTTAAACTGAAAATAAATTTATATATATATATAAAAGAAAATTACTCTGTCTTATATACCAGAATTGTTTTTGTTGAATATAACTCCAGAAAATTATAAGACAAGACTTTTATCGTACTATACATATTTTAAGAGCAGCAAGGATGTTATATGCAAAATATTGGAGAAGAATGGAAGTACCTACAAAAGAAGAAGTTACAGCCAAAATACTGGAAACTGCTGAGATGGATAAACTGACTATGATAGTCAGGGGTCATTTCGTAGAAAAAGAGCTAGGGGGACTCATTAGCATAACTCATTAGCATATGCCACACCCCCTGACATCACTGGAAGTGTGTCCTCCCCACAGCCGGCAGAAAATAATAACTAAAATGCCTGGACTTCTAACCAAAACAAATTTTTTTAAGAATCATAGGTGTAATTAGTAATAAAAAGTATATAATATAATGGTACAGTAGAAAAAAGTAACAAGAATTCTAGACTACAATAAGATACCAAAGACACTGGTTAAAATGATATAGTTTTTTTCCCCAACAAGTTAAAATGATATAGTTACAGGGTGATTTCCCACAAGCGCTGCTCCACGCTCACTCTGCTCTTTGGCCCAATGGTACGTGTCAATTTCACACAAGCTGCTGCGCGGCCGCATTTTGCCCCACAGCTTCGTGCAATTTTCCCCACGTCTACTCAATCCTGTTTTTGAGGATTGAGTAGACGCGAGGAAAATTGCACGAAGCTGTGGGGCAAAATGCGTCACACGTACCATCAGGGCAAAAGGGAGGACTGAGACCAGAGCAGTGCTTGTGGGAAATCATGTGTATGTTTGTTGTTGTTGGATTTTTTTGTCTTATAAAATTGAAATAAAAATACTTGGGGAAAAAAAAAATTCTGAGGTAACTCAACATAGATAACTCTGAGGGGAAACTAGTACATGCACAGACTTTAGTTCTTATGTTTCAGGCTAATGAAAGTTTCTGAAGATACAGTTACTTAAATCTTTCTGTTGAGAGGCTTTTGTTCCAGTATTTCCCCAAACACTCCAGTACACTCCAGTACACTTCCTTTGAGTATTCTGTGAATTGTCTTGAGTTTTTAATTGACTCTTAAGGTATCCAAAGGCAATTTCTAACCACATCAGACCAGGGATCTCTGCACTCTTCAGAGCTAACTCCCTGTTTGACTGGGTGGGGAAATTCTTCCCTCACTAGAAGAATGATCCCTTTTCTTTGGCCTGAATGGTAGTCTTCACATACTTCCCAAACTTCCTTGCCAACTTTCTCCCAGTTCTCCTGTCTGTATTAAACTGCTCTCAGTCAGGGCTGAAATCCAAAAATGTCAGTACTCAACTCTTCTCAGCTAGGGCTGAAATCAGACTGAATTCTCCTCAGCATCCAGTTCAGAAGTCTTTCTGTGTTCAGTTGATGCTAACCTATCAGATTTCTTAGAACAGCCTGTCACTCAAGACACTGTGAAGATTTAACCCTTCACAGTCCTTTATATGTTCACACATCACTTCTAAGCTTTTAAAAGTGCAGTCTCTCACACCAGGACTACCAGACCGGTGACGTGGTGGCGGCACGCGCGCGCAAAGCGCGTGCGCACGCATGTCAACAAAGAGATCCCGGAGACCGGCGAGGCTCCCCCGCTGGTAAGAGAAAACAACTTGCCAACCCTAGGAAGGAGAGTGTGTGAGAGATTTTCAGAATGTTCCCACCTCCAATAATTCCTTGTTGGAGTCCAGTCAAAAAACCTTTCCATAAAAAAAATCTTGCCACTTTAGTATCTATGCTAAAAAAATTATAAACAATAAATAATAAGTGCTGAGAAGATTATGCTATATAACAACTTACTGTAGAATTCTTTATGCCAAACCCTATCAGGGACCCTGATAGAATTGATGAAGAGGTAACTGAAGTACCAATATATGAAAATATGGCTAGCTACCTTTTGCAAAAGTTAAGGAAGGAAGGCAAAAGTATACACTTTTCAATTAAAATTGGCATTATTGAATATTGGTACTAGAAGGCCCACCCATTGTTTATGTGCATAATGTTCAATGGTGAAATGCATCACCTTGGAAAGGAGCATGTTTCACAGTTTAATGGTTTTAATGAGTGTTGCACTGATCCCACATAAGCACACTCCTAATACTCTGCACGTAATTATAGACACAGCAGGAACTACTACCAAGAAAGTAATTGGGAATATGTTCCATTATGCTAAAGTCAGCTGCTTTCCCACTGATTTTGTTGGGCAAGAAAAGAACTGATGAGAACAGGGATAATATCAAGAAGAGGAATGAGCTGGCTGGAAACTGCAACCTGGGAGGCTGGCTACATCAGCTGAAGAGAGAGAGATGCAGGGGACCCTGAAGGTCACCCGTGACCAACAGTGAGACACAAGTTTCTACTTTCAAAATATATGAAGTTAAAAGTTGTTATGAAGGTTGAGCAAAAACCATATAAAAATGAATTAAACTAAACAAATCAATTTATTATACGATGCAATTAAAATATAATTTTAGAAACACAGGACTTCAACTGAGTCTTTAGACTGAAAGCTACCAGACTGAGTAGTCCCAATATACAATATATAGTACAAACGACTTATCTCAATGATATACAAACAAGACCACAGTAAACCAGACTCAGTGGGTATCTTAAAGGTGATAGTCCACAAACAAAGCCACAGTAAACAAGGCCAAATGCATTTTGGCCCTATGGGCCTTCTTCAGTGGTCACAAATGCTTACATGCACACCAAGAACAAATGTTAGTCAGACCAGTCTTATTTTATTTCTGTTTTATTATAACACTTTGTTTCATGAATCCAAATTAAAATGTTGGGTCTAGGGTTGCCAAGTCTGGCAAACTTACCGGCGGGGGAGGCTCCAATGAGGTCGGGAGCAGGCTCCGTAAGTGACGTGCGACATTGGTGACGTTGGGGGCGTGGCCGAGCTCGTCGGGGGAAAACCATATGGTTCCCCCCCCGACGAGCTCAGCCACGCCCCCAACGTCAG